CGCCATGTGGTCACCTCCGGGGCAAGCGGGAATCAAACTCATGCGGAAGTGGCTTTAGCTTCTCAGTGCTGTGCTTTAACCCGCTGCGCCACCAGGGAGGGCCTCCATCCACTTTTATAAGTTCTCAACCATTATGTCTTCAAATACAACTTAACTATTCTGTTTCTCCTTTCCTCCTCGTTTTCCTCATTTCCTAAGTCACTGTTTCTATCTTTAGTTCTATAAAATTCCTTTAAACTAATTCATTCACCTCTTAAACATAGATGTTTTGTTTTCGTTGGTAAATGTTATTTTGATATTTTAACATAGCTCTTAGGCCTCCTGTGCTGTACAACATGTACTTGGGAAAATGTTGAGAGAAAACCCGTGGCCCTCATGTCTCCTATTTCACCCTCTAGCACCAGTCATGGAATGGAAAATAAAGCTTACAACCCCCCACCCCTCCGCCCCATTAATCATGATAGCAGAAGCTCTAGGGGTTATTCTCTATTTTATCCTTACTTTAATTGCAATAATGATACATTATTTCACTTCTTGGTGCATCTCTTATTGTGTGTATAAAAAGGAAAAAAATATTAGTACCGAAACTGTATTTGACAGAAAAGTCAGAACTGTTTGCATGTTTTCAGCTCAGGAATATAACCTGATTCTACTCTGTGGTGGGATTAGAGATACATTGTATTTTCTCCTACAGAATGAATAACTCCAAATTTTGAATAATAGCAATTCCTGAGATGAAATTCAAGTAGAGATTATATTGTTTGGGGGAAGAAGCAAATGCATAATGCCCAATGTATCTGGCCAATGCTAGTCTCATCTGACCTAATTTCTTGTGCGAGATGCCTGTCTACTCAAAGAGATGTTATTTCTGGAGCCTAGAACCAATATTCTGGTTAATACATGTCCTGTCTCATGGTCCTTTCATTTTTCAGCTGTGAGTGACTATAGCAAGAACATCTCTGACTAGAACAGGACTATGAGGAGTCTGATAAGCTCATAACTGTCCCCTTTAATTCAATGGCATTGAAATGGATGTGGTTTATAAGGACTCCACCAGCTACTGGCCCTTTACAGTCACTCTCTGCTCATTTATTTTATTTTATTTTATTTTTTTTTAAAGATTTATTTATTTATTCATACAGAACTGGGGTACAGGCCAGAGATGCGGAGGGTGAGAGGCTTCACCAGAGACAGAGCGGGGAGCAGAACAGGCAGATGGACGAAGTACACTGCTGAGGGGAGCAGCGGGCGGGTCAGGAGAGGTCTGCCACGCCATGTGGTCCCCTCTGGGGCAGGCAGGAATCGAACTCATGCGGAAGCGGCTTTAGATTCTCAGTGCTGTGCTTTAACCCACTGCGCCACCAGGGAGGGCCACTCTCTGCTCATTTAACTGCCCAGGGCAGAGATTGTGGCATTCCTGGACATCTTTTCAGAAGCCAGATAGAACTCTACCTCAGGATTAAATGTGACAGGACCCAGTTATATTTTCTTTTTCAGGCTGCTTACTAGATTGTTTTCAGCTAAAGTCTTCTGTTAGATGCCTCCTTGACATGACTATCTCTTTCCTCAGACAGCCCACAGCTCCGCTTGGTGGACGGAGGCCATCGCTGCGCCGGCAGAGTGGAGATCCTTCATCGGGGCTCCTGGGGCACCGTGTGTGACTACAAATGGGACCTGCCTGATGCCCACGTGGTGTGCAAACAGCTGGGCTGTGGAGAGGCCCTCAGAGCCATGGCCTCTGCTCAGTTTGGGTTGGGATCAGGGCCTATATGGTTAGACAATCTGCAGTGCACAGGGACGGAGTCCCACGTGTGGAAGTGCCAATCCCGGGGCTGGGGGAAGCACTACTGCTCTCACGGGAAGGATGCAGGAGTCATCTGCTCAGGTATGGTCGGTGTATTTTCAGGGTCAGAGGATAATGGAAAGTTCCAGGGGGCTGGTGTCTGTTGGAACAGCAGAGATAGATGGGCCAGAAAGCTCTGAGACACATCCTACCTCTCCATAGTTCCAAGGGCACAAAGCTTCTATGAAGGATGAGCATCCTTTACTTCTAAAGAAACTGCTAATCCTTTCTTCTCTATTGGTCTTTCCTGACAAAACAACTTAATCGATTACCATCCTGATTAAAACCAATCTTCATGATTTTTTTAAATTTACTTTTTATAAGAGTAAACTTCTGTAAAGCTCCACACTAATTCCTCGTGTACAGTAAGACTATGAGATGCACTGAGAATGAGATTTACTTTCCCTGGTTATAGTTTCTGCATGGACAGAAGAGATGCGGTTTTGCAGGGCCTACTAATAGTAGAGACACAGAGGATATCTCTGAATAAGTCAGAGGACTGTGGATTTATGCCAAGTTTCATGTCTTCTTTCTAAAGTTAAACATAAATATTCATAGTTCTTTCCCAGTAAAACCAAAAGCTGTGGGTGAAATTCTCTGCGCCATAGATTCTCATTCATTGTTACTGGAAAAGACTCTATTTTCTTTCAAAACACCAGTATAGACTCAAATATTGAGTTCATACACTGGTGGCTAAGTAGCCATGCACTGACAGGTCAGTAGTGGAAGAAATAAAATGTTAGTTTGTGTGTTTTATGGAAAGAGAGCACAACACTTATTTTATTGGTTGGCTTCAAAATGAATTGCATTTGGGGATTTTAGAAGAGTGGGATTGAGAGGACAAACAATTTTGAAAAAAGGAGGAAGCAGTTTATAGTAGCTGGAAAGGAGGGAAAGCTGGGGAGCTGAGAGCACACAGAAGGGGTTCCCTGAGCAGCACTGAGGGTGCAGGGGGATGTGGAGATGCCATCTGTGCATGAGGACAGGGGGTGTCTTTACAGCAACATATCTGACCACAACTTTTATATGGCCTGTGGTGGGGCTGACTGATACAAATAAATCACTTCTGAAGCAGCAATTCCATCTGCATTGTGCTGCCCACGTCTCTCTTAATCTTTTCAAAAGACTTCAAACTGTGCACTGGCTATTTTCCTCTATTAGAAGTAAACTGCAGAGATGAGAACATTGATTTATTCTAATTCAAACTCCAAGCACTTAGAAAATTTCCTTGCAAACTCTAAAATGACAATCGTATTTTGAATTGAACAGTAAGAAGGGGTTCACTACTGCCTCTCTCTTCCCAGGTAGCAACCTGTGCTGAGTTTGCAGACGCCTCCTTTGAAACCTCCCCGTCTTTATTTTATCATGTATCGATCAGAGGCTCAATCTTGGCCCATTTCTGGACACCTGTAGCCCACTCTTCTTGCCCCTTGCTGCCCTTGATGGGAAGGTCACCCTCATCCCTCTGGCTTTCCAAGGGGAGGGACAGCTCCATTGTCCCAAGGTAGAGGACGAATTATGTCTTCAAGAAATATACCTCAATCTTTGTGGATATTTGTGTGGCCAAATATCACATCCCTTGGAGGCATTTCCCATATCTCAGAGCATACAGTGCTCTGTTCTAAGAAAGAGTCTGAGCCTGGAGGGATGGATGAGGACCCAGAAGCAGGCAAGGCTGCTGGTCAGAGGCCCTGAAAGTGGGTTTGGATACAGATGAGTCACAGTGCAGGGAGGTCAGAGGGGAAAGAATAAGGAAAGAAAGGTGGCGAAAACCAATCTGGCCATCCTTAGTCTCTTGCTTCCCTAGAGAAAACCAAACCCTTAAGCCATAGTAGTGAGAGGGAAATGTCCTCTGATCAAAACTGCTCTAAACTAAAGCTGAGGTGTAGAAAATTGGGGCTCTCCAGGTTTGGGCACAGAGAACAGATTCCTCAGGCTGGTCCCTGAGATCCCACCTATAACTCAGGTTGATGTCTCTTTTGCACATGGGCTTAATTGGAAAGGGTAGTCTCTCCCCCAGGAGAGAAGAGTAGGGGTGAAGCACAAACGAGAGAGGCCAGACATATACTTAACACTGAGCCTGAAGGAAGATAAACTGTGTGCTGAAACCTGTGATGTGAGTTTCTGTCAGGAGCATAAAAACAGGCACCAAGGGAGCTAACTCCCTTGGAGGCCAGAGAGTGTGCCAACTCTGTAATCCTCAGCCAGTCACTCCTGTGACAGAACTTCCCTGGGCTCTGCTTTTCTGGCTGAAGTAAGGACAAAGTGCTTGAGCCTCTTCAGAATTTTTTAGTTTATTATACACATTGATCTTGGTCAATGAAAGAGCCCTACTTCACTGGTGTGGACATGGGTCCCTTGATCTTTCTGACAGAAGTAGTAGTGTGTTTGTACCTCTCAAATTTATGACCCAGATGTGAACCCAGCTCTCTAGAGTGCACAATGCAAATATCAGGTGGTTTTTTTACCTTCAGTTTTCCTTATGTTGATTATTTGGGATTGTCAGTGTTAAGTTACATGGATTAATAATTCCAACTTCAGTGGTCCTTAGTAAAATTGTTTTTCTCCCCCTGCCATTTTACATCCCTAGGCAGACTTTTTGAGACTTATCCTGATCCTGACCTTTTTTGTTTTTTTGGTCAGATCAGTAACAATGATAACCAGGAAACAGACAAGATGATCAGATTCTGTCAGTGAGAGCCAGTCTTCACCCTGATATTTCTCTTTAGGGGGCCAATCAGGAGACAGGGAGGAACAGGCTGACCATGTCAGTCAGGCTCTTCCCTGGCCCTCAGCTATACAGAATCAACAACTACATCCCAGTAAATATGCAAATGACATCAAAGAATTTGTGCTTCTCTGTGGTGAACTAAATTCTATTTACCTTGGGTGAACATTGATGGAATATTATTGGAATATTAAAATGCTACTTCTCACTAATAATGCCAAACTTGGCATTATGAAAATATTAAAATGTTCCTATTAAACTCATGCCATTCACTGCAATGCAACGTGGATGGAGCTGTAAGGGATTATGCTAAAAGAAATATGTCAGAAGAAAAGATAAATATTGGATGGCTGCACTTACATGTGGAATACAGTGAAAGCAAGTAGAGTCATATAACTGACATACCTTGACAGCCAAACATAGATTTGAGGCTGACAGGAGGGGAGAGGGGTAAAATTTGAGGAGGGAAGAGCACAGAGGAATATGGTCATGTGTGTTATGGTGGTAGGAGAACTATGGGGTCTGTACCTGAGGGGAGAAGTCAAATAATTTCCAAAAATGAACAATGATGTAAGAAAATGAATAATTAAATTTTAAAAAATGTGTAATTTTATTTACTTTTAGTTAATATAATATTGTATTTTGACATCATTTTGTGCATTTTCCCATCTCACTTGTAATCCCCGTGGGCTTCCCGTCACCAAATCACCCATGTGCCATCACCAAAGTCCAGTGCATTTCCCTCCCCCCACTGTTTTTATCCTATTCCCCACTCCACCCTCATAAAATGGTATATAGCTGTTCATTGTTATTATTTTCTTGCCCGTTCCATTATACTCCTGCTATGAGAGAAACCATCCGGGTTTTTTTCCCTTTTCTTTCTGGCCTATTTCACTAAGCATGATCTTTTCCAGCTCCATCCATGTTGCTGCAAAAGGCATGTGTTTATTTTTTTAGTTGCTGAATAATATTCCATATGTGTATATATGTACCACATCTTTTTAATCCAGTCATCCACTTTTGGGCATTTGGGCTGTTTCCATGTCTTTCCAATTGTAAATAAAACAGCAGTAAACATGATGGTGCAGGTGTCTTTTTGAATCAGTGTCTTTGTGTCTTTTGGGTAGATACCTAGGAGTGGGGTTCCTTGGTCATATGGAAGCTCCATGTTTAGCAGTTTGAGGAACCCCCAAACAGTTTTCCATAATGGATGTACTAGTTTGCATTCCCACCAGCAATGCAGGAGAGTTCCTTTTTCTCCACATCCTCACCAACATTTGTTGTTGCTAGTTGTTTGAAGATGTGCCATTCTCACTGGGGTGAGGTGGTAGCTCATTGTGGTTTTAATTTGCATCTCCCTTATTACGAGTGATGTTGAACATTTTTTCATATACTTGTTGGCCATCTGTATTTTTTCTTTAGAGAAGTGTCTTTTTAGCTCTTCTGCCCATTTTTTTGATGGGGTTGTTTATTTTTGTTGAGTTTCATCAGTTCTTTGTATATCTTTGTGATCAGTCCTTTATCACTAGTTTTGTGTGAGAAAATTTTTCCCCAATCAATGGGATGTCGTCTGTCTTTTGTAATGTCTCTTTTGCTGTACAGAAGCTCTTTAATTTGATGTAGTCCATCTATTTATCCTTGCCTTCACTATGGTTACATTGGGTGCTGTATCCTTAAAGATGCCGCTGAAGTGTATGTCGGGTAGTGTTTGGCCCATCTTTGCTTCCAGGTATTTTATGGTTTCTGTTCTTATGTTTAGGTCTTTAATCCACTTCGTGTTGATTTTAGTGTATGGTGTGAGGTAGTGATCTAGTTTCATTTTTTTGCATGTAGCTTCCCAGTTTTCCCAGCCCCATTTGCTGAAATTGTGGAGTTTCTGGTTGTCTGAAAATGTCCTTATTCTTTCTTCATAGAGGAAGGGGAGTTTTGCAGGATAGAGTATTCTTGGTTGGCACTTAATGCTTTGAAGTTTGTTGAGAATGTCACTCTACTCTCTTCTTGCCCGTAGTGTTTCTTAGGAGAAGTCTGATGTCAGCCTGATCGATTTCCCTTTATAGGTTATTTGTTTCTTCCCTCTTGTCATTCTCATTATCCTTTTCTTATCTTGTACTCTTGGTAGTTTTACTATGTTGTGTCTTGCTGTCCTGTTGTTATTGTAGTTTGGTGTTCTTCTTGTTTCTTGGATGTCTACTTTCATCTCCTTCATGTTAGGGAAGTTCTCTTCTATTATCTCTGTGAATATTTCTCTATTTCTTGGCCTTTCTCTTCACTTTCGGGGATACCTATAACTCTGATATTTCCTTTCCTAATGGTGTCAGATAGCTCTTGAAGAGTTTCTTCATTATTTTTCCTTTTTACTTCTCTTTCTTTTTTTTTTTTAAATTCTCTTTATTTCTGTGTCTTTGAGGGTGCTGATTCATTCTTCCACTTCATCTATTTTGTTTTCATTACTTTTCCCAGCATTCTTTATCTACTCTACTGGCCTTTTCATCTCTTGCATTTCTTCTATTTCCTTTTTTAATGTCTCATTTTCTTTTTTCAGTTTATTGATTGCTTGTCTCATATCTTTTTTTTTCTTTTTCATTTCTCTCATTCATTTCCTTGTTTGCATTCTTCTTGGAAGAAGCCTGTATTGGAGGGATCAGCACATCCAGGTGTCTCATGATCTCCCATGAGCTCCCACTCTCCTTCTGGTTCACTGACAGACTCCAGGGCTTCAGGGGATAAAACCAGGATCAGCTCCTCCTATGCGATGCTGAGATTTCTGAGCTCCACATTCATCTGTGCACAACCTTTTTCATAACCAGTCGCCTAAGCAGTTCTTGGAATTTCTTGCCATAAAAAATTATCAAAAAATAAAACAAGGAACCATGAAAGTGGACATTAAATTCTGTTTCTTCCCTTGAACATCAGTCTGTCATGTGGCAACTCTCACAGACCAGAACTCATGGTTTTTCTTATCCTCAGTCCTTTGAGGGCCAGCTCCTGAGTCAATACTGGCCTTGTTTGTAGCCCCAGAAACCCCAGGATGCTGTCACGTCTGGATGACAGGCTCTGGCCTCTTTAATGCCATGGTTCTGTTGATTCTGGGCTTGTCCATCTTGGAGGCAAGTCTGAACGCCCACCTGGAGTAATGTCCTCAGGGCTTGTAGCTTCCCAAATCCTAGAGAAGGATTCACATTCTAATGCCTGAAAGTGTCCATGTTCTTGGGATTCAGTCATTGAAACTGAAACCCATCAAATCCTTCTGGATTTCTCTTCAGAAATCTACTCATGAAAATGCCAGATTCTGTCAGATTCTCTCTCTACTTCCCATCCTTAGAGAAGAAAAGCCCACCCATTGCCTGTACAGGCTTTTCTGATGCCACTGAGAGGTCATTAACACTCCCTTTTCCTTTCTCTAGGATTTGTGCGTCTGGCTGGAGGAGATGAGCCCTGCTCAGGGCGAGTGGAAGTGCATTCCGGAGGAGACTGGACTCCAGTGTCTGATGGGAACTTCACATTGCTCACCGCCCAGGTCATCTGTGCAGAGCTGTGGTGTGGCAAGGCTGCGTATGTCCGGGAGGGTGTGTCCCTCAGAGAGTCAGATGGACGGGTCTGGCCTGAGGAGTTCTGGTGTGAGGGGCGGGAGCAGGGTCTCTGGTTCTGCCCCAGGGTGACCTGTCCAGGAGGCACCTGCCACCACCGTGGGGCTGTTCACCTCGTCTGCTCAGGTGAGACCCGAGCAGGATTCACCCTCCCTGCTTACTCTGCTGTGTAGGAAACACATAAGAGCTTGCTGAAGACTTGTCTCTCCCTCCCAGAATACACAGAAGTCCGGCTCATGAACAGCAGCAGCTCTCGCTGTGAGGGGCAGGTGGAGATTCATATTTCAGGGCGCTGGACCGCGCTCTGCGCCTTCCACTGGAGTCTGGCCAATGCCCATGTTGTGTGTCGCCAGCTGGGCTGTGGGGTCGCCCTGTCCACCCCCGAAGGAGCACACTCTGGGGGAGCAGCTGCCCTGGTCTTGAAGGCCCGATTTCACTGCTTAGGGAATGAGTCCTCCTTGTGGACGTGCCCTGTGACTGCGCTGGGCGCTCCTGACTGCGGCCCTGGACACACGGCCTCTGTGACCTGCTCAGGTGAGAGGGGACTGACTGCACTCGGGGGGCTCGGGTCCCTCAGAGTAGAGCTGTGGGAAAATATTTAAAACTCACTTTTGCCATCATATGCAGTCTTCGTAAATGGCTTAGGTACTCTTGGGAATGACATGTATCCTGTGTTGTGAGGTGTGTATTTTGTAAATCATACCATGCAGCTATTTGCAATGCTGACTGCTTGTCTTGTTGACCATCCAGTCAGTTACTGATGCAGATGTTTTCCTTTGTTGTCTGAACATGCATTGCTTCAAAATGTAACCATGGAAAACAGCCATTTTACTTTTTTTATGACTGCCAATCACATTTTTTCATGTCATTTGAACCTTCACCAGCAGCATCCCCCAAAGCTATCATTTTTCTGATAATAATCTCCCTGAGGCCCTACTAACTTCTACCTGCTGCCTTATCATGAAAGGAAGTAGTCCGGGCTCCTATGAATGAAGATGTTCTCAACATTCATGTTCAAGACAAGAGTTTGCAATTCTTTTTAGAGAAGCTTAGATGAAGAGAAATATTTTTCTTTCTCTTTACTCACATAACTGTCCTGGTTACTATTACTGAATGCACATTTCTTCCCCAAATTTAACACAGAAAAAAATATTTTTTAGTTTGCTGTGGTTTCCTGGGTCAGGAATTCAGGGAAACCCAGTAAGGCAGTTCTCTCTGGCATTTTCACCTCACTGTCATGGGAGGCTCAAGTCACACAAGAGCTGCCAGACCTTGGATCCCAGGATGCTCCCTGAGGAGATGGCAGACCCCTGCCTGTGGCCTCTCCCAGGACAGGCTCCGCCGAGCAGCTCCCTAAAGCAGTGTCCTCAGTGGGGCTGGGAGGCTGCGGGTCTTTCCTGTCCTGGTGCCGGAAGCCAGCAGTGTTTCCTCCGCTGCATCGCGCTGCCTACAGTGAGTCATGGAGGTCGGTCAAGAGTGATGCCAGAGAAGGAGCAGGGACATCACTTTTTGGAGAACACAGTATCAAAGATTTTATAGAGATGTTTAGGAACTGCACAGTGTACAAATATCCCTCTGTGATTGTGTATTTTTAAGTTTTTACCTTCAGTTCTTCATTTGTGTCTTAAATATAACATCACATATATTCTGCTTAGACATTTTCACCTTATCTCTTGTGCCCCTTTTATACTGTCTATTCTCTGTCTGGGCTGTTTTCTCGGTATTTCCCTTTTTACTATTCCTACTTGCAAATCACTACTGAGGTTGTTTCTGTGATGACTGAATTGACAAAAATCTCAAGGGGAAATAGGCTCAGCCCTGCTCTTGGCTTCTTTCTGAGCATATAGCTTCATATTTTCTGAAGCATTAGGAGCTGTGCAACACTACCAACAGTTGGATTGTCCCCACTTTTCCAAGCTCATTATCAGTGTTTGTTTTAAGGCAGAAACTTTGGCATTGACAGAGACAGAACTCTCTGCACAGAAAGGGAACTCTAAAATTATGATACCATGGCTGCTCAGTTCATCTCAGGCTCCTCCCTTAGGTATTGATGCAATTTAATTCTCTAATTACACTAACCCTCTGACCTTACTTCTCTGCAGGAAACCAGACCCAGGAGCTGCCCCAGTGCACCCAAAACTTGTTAATATCTACAGCCTCACAGGAGGGTGCACCAAACTGCTCAGGTGAGGGTCCCCAGGACAATTAAACACCTTCCCTTTCCTGGTTAGATGCCCCCTTGACCTGAATCTCCCTCCTCAGACAACCCACAGCTCCGCCTGGTGGGCGGAGGCCATCGCTGCGCCGGCAGAGTGGAGATCCTGCACCAGGGCTCCTGGGGCACCGTGTGTGATGACGGCTGGGACCTGCGTGATGCCCATGTGGTGTGCAGACAGCTGGGCTGTGGAGAGGCCCTCAACGCCACGGTCTCTGCTCACTTCGGGGTGGGATCAGGGCCCATCTGGCTGGAAGAGCTGAGGTGCACAGGAAATGAGTCCCAGTTGTGGAAGTGCCCATCTCTGAGCTGGGGACACCATGACTGCAGGCACAAGGAGGACGCCGGGGTCATCTGCTCAGGTCTGTGCTGTCCACTGTCCAGGCCTGGTGGGGTTAAGAGGATGGAGCGGTGAGGACAGAGTCTAAAACGATAGAGGGGACGTAGCTTCTACTGGAGTCCTGCTTGTTGCTTCCTTTCATCCTGTGGGAGCTGAGGTTCTGTTTCTTCCTTCTTAGCAATGTCTCCTGAGGGAGCCACGTCCTACAGTTTCCATCCAAGCAGGACTCACTCTTCAGTTACTGAGGCTAATAAAATCTTGACACTCTCTGTACTGCTTTATACTGTACTTATAACAGATAATTACATTTTATGTTATATTACTATTTATAGGTTATAACACATACTTCTGTTTGTAACAACTTATATTTATTATCTTATATTTCTGTAGGTTAGAAGTCCAACACCATCTCTCTGGGCTAAAATCAAGGTGTGAGCAGAGTGTCATCACTTTTTAGTTTCTGTAGCAGAATCAGTTTCAAGCTTCTGGAAACTGACTGTCTTCTTTGTCTCAGACCACCTTCCTTCCTATCAGGCCAACAATGTTACAGATTTCTCACCATACTTCCATAATCACTCCCTCTCTAACCAAAGCTTGAAACTGTGGTCTTTACAGTCCACAGTCTAACTATGGGCTCACTTGGGCAGTCCATGTTCCAGGTAATCTTACCTTTCTAAGATCTTTACTTAAGACACATCTTTACAATATCTTTTCCATGCAAGGTAACGTATTCACATATGAAGTAATGGTACTCACAGGTTTCAGGGATCAGGATGTAGACAACTTGGGGGGCCATTATTCTGCCCCCACCACACTCACCACACCCTTCCTCATATTCTGTAGTTTTGTCAGGAAACAGCATCCTGTGTTCCTTCTCTGCTAAGGGCCCAGAATGCTTAAGGGTGCTCACAATCCCCATCTCCCCCTTTCCCTTTCAGAGTTCTCAGCCCTCAGGCTGGTGAGCGAGCACCAGGACTGTGCCGGGTGGCTGGAAGTTTTCTACAACGGGACCTGGGGTGGGGTGTGCAACAGCCCAATGGACACTGTGACCTTGTCTGTGATCTGCAGACAGCTTGGCTGTGGGGACAGCGGGACCCTCAACCCTTTGGTTGCTGCTAGGGAAGGTTCTAGACCCCGGTGGGTAGATGGAATCCGGTGTCGCAAGACGGATACCTCTCTCTGGCAGTGTCCTTCTGACCCTTGGAAATACCATTCGTGCTCTTCAAGAGAGGAAGCTTCTGTCACATGTGCAGGTGACTGCTGTGTGTGTCTGTCTCCACCCCATGTGCTGTTGCTAGTGCTGGTTTACATTTTCAAACATAGCTTATGAGTTTAAGGTAAGTTTGTAAAGTGAAGTTGGATAAATATTTAATCACATGTTCCCATCCTGTTTTGGAGGAAAATACAAGGTAAATTGTGCTGAAGGTAGCTCATATGAAAAATATCAGGTCAATTAATAGTGAATCTGTGGGGAGTGTGAATAATCCCCTGATGGACTTCCTATTAATTAGGGCTTGCCAAACGATTTGCTGAGCACCTTAAATAAATGCTCTCTGTGTGTCTTATGTTCCTGCCATTTCTTTCTTTTTTAAAAGATTTATTTATTTATGCATACAAGAACTGGGGTACAGGCCAGAGATGTGGAAGGTGAGAGGATTCATCAGTGACAGAGTTGGGGGCAGAACAGGGTGATTGACAAAAATACACTGCTAAGGGGAGCAGCGGGCAGATCAGGAGAGTTCTGCTGTACCATGAGTCAGCCCCTTTTTCAGCGATCAAACTTGTACTGTGGTAGCTGTGGAGAGTGCCACAGTTCTGTGCTCTAACCCTTTTCAACACCAGGGAGGGCCCTGTTTTGGCTTTTTGTCTATAAATACATCTGCACCAGTCGGTCAAACTATAGCTATTATTTTATATTTTCCTTATTTTTATCCTAGTAGACATTTTAAATGACTTTATTATATACCACTAGATTTTAGCCATCTACTCATTCAGTAAACATTCATAAGCCCCTATCCCCAGTGCTTACAGAAGGTTCTTTCTTCAACACAGGACTTGAATGAAGTCCATTAGGGTGCTTGGTGCTGAGCTAAGAGCATGAGCACAGATATTATTAGGGGGAAAGAATATCCTGCAAGAACTTTACAGTTACAGGTTTTGTGGACTCCACCCCCACTCCACACAGGAAACTATGAATCCTAGCACAGCAAAGTAAGGACTGCTAGGACCCGAGGGCTGAGTTAAGCAACCATTTTGGGTTTTGGATATAAAACCGCACATGTTAGACTGAGTGGTCTCTTAGTCTCATGGTGAGAGGCGGGTGACTTGGCTCTTCATCAGCTTTCAGCATGCTCTTGTGGTTCCAGATCAGGGGAACTGGTAGGACTCATTAGTTAACTTGTATCTCTTGCTCTCTCTTTCCCTGAGTTAATCCTTTCCTTTTATTCCCCTTGTAAATAAATCCATTATTGACCTTTCTGTGTGTGTCTGCAGTTGAGTCTTGAGTGCACGATTGAGGACCCACAGACAGGCAACCCAATGTGAATTGTAACAATATGAATCAGGTTGTATAGGGTCCATTCGCTCAGGGAGAAGGTGTAGCACTTACATGCCTGTGGGTGTTAGTTGTGGCATGTGGAGTGTGATAGACAAGCACTCAGATAAAATAATTTCAGCTGCTGATGAGGGTGAAGATGGAGTGAGTCCCAGCCCTAGGAAGCGGTGTTTCCCCTTGTCATTTGGTCTGAAGCAGGTGACCACCCTTCCTGTGGCTGACCCAGGGCTCCCGCTTCCTTTTGCAGAAAAGAGGCCGAAGAGCTGTCCATCTGCCGCCCCCTGCACAGGTACCTCAGCCCCTCCCAGCCCCGGGTGCCCTGGGCGCCTCCCCCGCCCGCCCTGACAGGGGCCCTGGCCTTGCAGACAGGGAGAAGCTGCGGCTGCGGGGCGGAGACGGCGCGTGCTCAGGCCGCGTGGAGGTGTGGCACGCAGGCGCCTGGGGCACGGTGTGCGACGACTCCTGGAGCCTGGCCGAGGCCCACGTGGTGTGCAGGCAGCTGGGCTGCGGCTCGGCGCTGGACGCCCCGCGGGCGGCGGCCTTTGGCGCTGGCAACGGCAGCATCTGGCTGGATGAGGTGCGCTGCAGGGGCGGGGAGCCCTCGCTGTGGGCCTGCCCTGCGGCTCCCTGGGGCCAGAGCGACTGCAAGCACGAGGAGGACGCGGGAGTGAGGTGCTCGGGTGAGTGGGCAGGGCCCTGGCTCTGGAGTGCGGGGAGGGGTTGAGTTTGCCCCGGAAGCTCTTTGTGGATTCACCTGCTGCTCTGGGCCTTGGCACCTGGAGGCTGTGGCCTGATCCCCTGGGGGCTGGGGAGAAAATGGTGCCAGGGTGTTAGGTGTGAACTTGGGGCTTCCCCAGCCAACTCAGTAATGGTCCCCTTCTCCCTTTCTCCTCTCTCCAGGCGTGAGGACAACCCATGCAGGTAAGTGATTCTTCTCTGAGCCGTGAGAATCAGGAGACACCCACATTTTTAGTGAATGCACAGTGAAACCTACATATTTCTAGAAAATTAACTTTGTTGGTATAGGACAGGCCCATGCTCAGGTGTTAGCTGCTGCCACTGTGATACGCCACAGCCTCATCCACTTTTACTTTATAGAGATCCCTGAGAACCAGATGCAGATGACAGTTGACACAGCTGAGCACGGGATTTGAGTGGACATAACTTGGGGTTAAGAGATTGGTGATGGGAAGGGCTGTCCTGGATCACAAACTTCTCTGAAACCTCACCACCCTCTTCTGTCCTCAGGCAGCAGATCAGACCCAGCTGCTGGCCCTGGCATCTTCTCCCTGCCCGGGGTCCTCTGCATCATCTTGGGGGCCCTTCTCTTCCTGGTCCTGGTCATCCTGGGCATTCAGCTGCACGGAGGGAGAGCAGAGCACAGAGGTGGGCCGTGGGGATAATGAAGGGAATTCGTGAGGAGGTGTAGAGCCAGTTATGATACCAAGAAAAGTGCTCAAATACTGGCCTCAAACCCACCATCTGCAAACAGCACCTTCTCTATAGTATTCCTCAAGATTTGAGATAGTGGAATTCCTGCTCCAAGATCGATTGGAAAATGTCTGAAAAAAATGATGACACTGTGAGAACAGTGTAGTGGTAATTGAGTCCAGGGTCATAGCTGGTGGCAGGAAAATTTGTTCTTTTTCAAAAGGGTTAGGAAGGGAGCCTGGCAGGCCAGCAGGCTTCCCCAGGGTGGCCCTGAAGAGCACCGTGGCCTTGCCTGTTAGTGTAGGGACTGTCTGCAGGGCAGTCTGTGAACTCCTGCCACTTTTACAGCCTCACCTGCTTTCGAAGATGTCATCGATGAGGCCTTGTACCAGGAGATTGACCACTATGCTTTACCAGAAAAGGACCTTTATTACAGTCCAGGTGTGTCCCATGCAATATCCCCGTCCCATTCAATCCCCACTTCCCGCCCCCCCCCAAGTCTGCCCTTCTGTTCCTGAGCTGACCATAGGTTCCCTTCGCCAGCACACCCCACCTTCTCAGCCTCCGCCCGAGGCAGCAGCTGCTAGGCCTCTCCCTACAGCTCTGAGGCCTCATGATTTCCTCTGAACCTTGACATCAGGCCTCCCATGGGGGCAAATGTTTCCCTCTGTGATGTTCTCCTCCCCACCAGGACACCTGTCTGAGGACTCAGTGTCTAAACTGCTTTATTACACAGGGGACGATGAGGAGACGGGAGCACCTGGATCTGCCCCAGGTAGGACAGACAGCTGCTCCCTTGATGGCGGGATTGAGGGCCAGGAGTGTCACTTGAGGAGAATTTCCGTGTTGAGGAATGGAGGTGTCTCCTCTTTCTTTTTCACAAAAAACTTTTGTTCTCTCGACCTGAGAAAGGAAAAGATCAGACCCAGTTCTCTGTACCACAGCTACTTGTAATCAATTGGAGACATGCATGTAATTACTATAGATTCAAAGGCCACCTTTTTTCCAGTAGCATCTGAAACTGACAACAGGAATTTCCATGGTGAGCATTGGGAATTATGTTTTGAACTTGAGATGGTATGATATTTGTGGGTCATGTACAAACTGAGACTCCAAAATTTGATTTTGATATTCAGATATCAATGACTGCTGGTGCTTGCACTTAACAGCTACAGGAAATCTTATTGACAAGGGGCCCAAGAAAGGAAACTGTTCCTCTCTTCCCCTGGTAGTGTTGATGGATAGCCATGGGGATGAGGCTTGTCCAGAGGGATCCTTGGAAATTGGACCCTCAGATCAACATGGCTCTCAGTGGATTGACACCCAGGCCCTCTATGGTGGGGGCTGGTGAGGTGGCCCTTTTCTGGGTGAGAGGTACCCAGGTACCTTCTGTTGCCTTCTCTGTGTTTCCCACAGTGTCAGAGATATATGGGCAGGTGGGTTCTTCTTGACTGGATTTATTACAAAACACACATGTAGCATGTGCTTGAAGGTAGCACCCAGGTTACATATTACAATAGCTTTGTCCATGCTTTGTAGTTTGTGAGGCCCTGTTAGGAAAGTAAACTAGAATATTTAGAAGAGGCAAATAATTTCTGAAAATATGGAGATAAAGTATATTTGGTCCTAGGGCCCAGAGACAGCCCTGGAATCCAGAGCTTTTACGTATCAGCTGTTGGTATCTCTGCAGTAGGAGGGACTGAGACCCACAGCCAGCCTCAGTGCTTGTCCATTTCCAGAGCCTCCGGGACATCATGCCAGTGCCACAGGAGACTGTTATGATGATGTTGAAGAGTTTCGTGTTCCTAGAGAAATTCCTTCTTCCCCTGGAATGAGTGGGAATTATACTTTTCCAGAAGAAGAAGGGGATTCCCAGCCAGGTGAGTGGTCAGCTCTGTCTCCAGTGGCCTCATTTCCTTGTCATGGGGAGGATGAGTTTGGTCCCATCATAGCTCAGTTTTTCTTTGCTATCAATACCTAGAACCTTCTTAGACCTGGCTGAGGTGTCTCTGGCACGTGG